CCTTGGCAACTGGTTATGGGTGTTGACGCGGCTGCCCGTCCGAAGTTGAGGCGAACAGAGCAGACAGCGACAAATGTTTCCGGAACCACCATTCAACACTCTTTTGTATTTGGGATAGCATTTCCTGACTTAGGACCGTTTTTTGCCTACTTTGTGATATACGTAGATGTGGCACTCTGTCTCGGCAACCGTTCGGTGCTAGGGCCTCACACCAATGGAAGATATCGCGAAAATGGGCCGGCCAAACAATAAACCAGCTCAGGATAAAATAACAGCATCATCTCAGTTGTTGTCAGAGCTGCCAATCTGATTGCAGCAGTGCAGTACACCCTTGGTCGAGCAAAATCAATAAACGGCACGAATACTTTTATTCGACTTCAGTGTGGACAATACCTTTGTCGCCAACAAGCGGAATCGTCTGCTGGCATCTGAAAAACAACTCGCTGCCTGGCCCTTAGCGGAAGATGTCAGAACCAAGGCGAGTAATAATGCCAGTCTCATCATTGTCTGCCATAGCAGGATTAGTAAGCTTCTTCTGCCGTATACATGAATGTCACCCCTAGAAGGCCTTCAGACTTCTAGGCCGTAGCTTCGCTTTTCTTCATTTTTTCCTAAACCTTGCAAGCTACCAGCCACTCTATTTTTTCCTCAACAAAAACAGAAGCGTTCAATCCGCCGGCTATTCACATAATACCCTGAGCTCACATGTCGCAAATCCAATACCGGTATCCCCCCCACACACAGAATAATATTTAACACATCGAGATCATCTTTCCTTTTTAGCTGAATTCCACCGTCTTTAACCTTCTCACCATGTGTAAACTAGGATGAATTCTAACTCATGTTGATGATCGTGCCTGCGTTTGACGTCACACAATGACAATTTGCGTCTCTGCAGTGAATGTATGCCATGGAAACCATAACTGCCAGCGCGTGTTAACCGATGCCCTAATTTTTACGACAATGATGGGGTCTTAGTTGAAAAGTAAACTTTCTCCAAAACCGACCAGACTCAGGGAATTAACTAAATATATCCAAATTCTCTAGTATAATGATTCATAGACGTCGTTAAAATCTTCTCAACCTTGTCGAATAACCGTGCATGTGCTCTGGTCTGTGCGGAAGCTCCTAAATGCTCTAGAAGTGACTTGGTACGCTATTACGAGGCCTCGTAATCTTTTCTATGCCCAATATATAACAATTCTCGATGTCTGTTTGATAGTTGGGAGTTCACTCTCATCAAGTCCCAAGGGTTCTGTACATTTGCCTTGTGATCACACTTTGAGAAAGTTGAATCCTCGTCGGAAGACTGGCCACGCAGATCATGTCTCTTGGTTGACCCAAAACATCCATCATAATGGCGCAACAGGGTATAAGATGATTAAGCATATCCTACATCCAGCCCTTACCTCACGTACAGCTTCTACCAGAGTATTAACCGCCCAAATATGTCTGACAAGAGGAGAGTAATCAGTTTTCAGTCTCTAACTCCGGAATCTGCTTCAAACGAATGGCCTCGACACTCCCTCATGCCGTGAGTTATTTTAGACATAAGAGTGCTCTGAGTTAGATGTCCAAATGCGTGGTATCTCGCTGACAAATCCAGCGGCCACGCGTCATGCACATGCAGGTAACGGTACTTAATGTCTGGGTAGTCACCACACCGATCGATGAGCCCTGCGTTTGAACGCAGCTAGACTGTCAGTTTAGCTCATGATGCCTGTTTCACAGGTAATTCTTATGAATTCCTTGTCCTCTCGACTGGAATTTTTATATTACCTTCTAATGAGGACGTATGAAGCAGACTTTAGGGATACTCAATTAAAGACATCCGAATTTGTAGAAAAGCATGGTAAGTCGCTGGTTATGATTATTTTCATTCCTATCCACTGTTGGGGTTTATGAGATAGCTCTTGCGACACTTTTATGTGAGAGGAAGACGTTTTATTAGGGTGGAATTTACTGAACTTTTGAATGACCTTAATAAAACAGTTTGAAGATTCCTCTAGGTTAGCCCTAGTCAACCATGTGGCACAGACTCGTGCCTTCTCTTCACTGCAGAAAGTTTGGCAAACGCAAGCTAGACTTTTAAAATGTTTGTATTTAACTTTCTGGAACTTTCGAAATCCCCTTTTTAGGGAAACTTTCCAAAGCAGCACTTTAGTGAGGTGTACCGGGATTTTTAAATTAATGGCATAAAAGTACTCAGTTGTTTAGTGAATACTGTCAGGGAAGGGATCTACTGCGGCAAAGTTCATTTGTTTGGGAGCTGATCAGTGCATTTATTGAGGATAAGTGCGCGTTCTGTTTCCTATATTCCATGAATATATTTAATATTTCTCTCACAATGTATCTGAGAGCTTAACTTTCATACAGGCAGTAAATAAAAGCAAGCCTTATGTGATAGTTGCAGAAGGCAAGCCAACGAGGACATTATAAAACGGCAACAAAGTCTTTCGCTTGATCTTTAGCGCAGACCTGGGCTGCTATAGCAACCTTCATGGAGCAGGCTTTGAACATTGTTGGTACTCGAAAGCTCTGCCAACTTATTCCCTGAGTGACTCAATTCGTGATGTGAATGGCGGCTTTATT